AGACACATAACACTCACTAGCTGTGTGACTCTGGACAAGTCACTTAACCCCAATTGCCTCACTAAAGCAAAAAAAAAAAAAAAAAGAAAATAAAAGAAAAAGAAAAAAGAACTCAAAATTATAAACACCACACTTCAAAAAATGTCATATTTTATTAATATCTTACACTGTGTTTAAACACACGTTATAGTAAATGGCCTCTTAAGCAAAGTTCAGCAGAAAGAATACTGGACCTGAGTTTAAATTCTGCCTCTGCCATTTGTAACTACAATTTTGAGCAAATCACTTACCCTGTCTGGGCCTCAGTTTCCTCATATGTAAAATTAGAAAGTTTGGAGTAGATAATGTTTAAAATCCCTTTCAGTTACAAATCTACAAACTTAAGTGTCTATGTTTATGAAAATAAAGCATTCACAGAAGAGGATGTTTATAAACAATAACACCACATTTAACTAACATTTGTTTTATGTAAACAAAATAACTGATTTAAAGAGGTTTAGCTCTAACTCAAAAATTTACACTTCCCTACAAATTCATTAAAATAGAACTCTTTCTGTAATACCAGCACAAATTTGCAGAGAAGGGACAAACTAAGACAAAGTGATTGCCTAGGTAATTTTATAAGATCATAAGTTGGTTTATAGAGGAGTATGCCCTGTAAATGAAATTTCTGAATTAATACTCTGTCCACTAAACCAATACATTAAAAAGATTAGTTCCCATAACTACTAGAACCCCAAAATTAGTAGTTCAGAAAGAAATCGGAGTCTTTACCTAAGAAAGTAAAGAAACACTGCCATTTAGTAGCATTTTGATGAATGGAACCACTTATGATACTATCCTTGTGGAAATCAGAAATCTCTCAAGAAAAAAAAAATCAGGAACTATTGGTATCTACATCTGTTTTCTTCATCTTATCACCATGTATATTGATCAAATTACTAATTTTAATAAAAATACAAAAAAGTCTAAATTTGTTTGGCAACATTTCATTGCAACATCATAAACCTTCCTATTCAAACTGGCTAGAATACAAAATTATTGTCTAAAACTTTAAATTACATTTTACTGGTAGCAAGAGGTTTTTTCATGAATTTCAGCTGCATCTTTGGAAGGGAAAAGTCACACCCATTCTCTCTAATATGTTTCAAAAACAATCCCATCACTACCTACCTCTTTCTTTCTGTGGCACTCCATTACAATCAAAGACTGATTCACTGAGGCCAATGAAGGCACTTAAAGCTACTAAAAAAAAGATGTGAACTGGAGTAAGGCAGGAGGTAAGAACAGCAAAAGGAGTTAAGACAACACCAGCATTGAATTAGGTGGGGGTGGGGTGGAAATATCAACACCAGAAACTGCAATTCATCAGACAGGAAGTCCTGAATCACCTGACCTAAACACAGGAAAACAATAAATTTAAACAAAAATCAAAGGAGGAAAGGTGGGTAGCCTCAACTGCCACCTAAGCCTTCGAAGAAAATGAAAGGCCAGACATGGTATTTAAAAAAAGCTGCAAGTATAAATTATGTTGTTTTAAGGAATCCAAGGACAGCAAAAGCACGTCTTTGCAATCTGGCATATTTACCCAGACATGTTAAAAACCTAAAGCAAGCCATTTTCTTCTAGCATACATGGTTTGATTTTCACAGACTCAGAGTTCTCAAGAACAGAAAGAAAAACAACTTCTTCATTTTACAGAGAAGCTATATGCTACATAAAGTAAATTGATCTTACCCATTAATGTTGCCAGAAGGCACAAGGAGTACATTTCCTTGTCAGTCTGCTCCTGAAATTCCTTAGAAGATATTTTGCTAGTAACAGCAATATCTTCATGTTTCACAGTGTGTGCTGAGTGTGCTGCACTGGGCTGAGCACCTTCCTCTCTACCTTTTAGGATTTCTATTGTTATTCTGTCACCGTGTTGCAAGGGCACAGGTTCCTTTTCCATTCCAGCTTTGGGGGGCATTAGCTCTTTAGGAGGAAAACCGTATCGAATACATTGTAAATATGGAGGAATATCAAATTCTCTAGCTATGCTTTCCTGAAGTTCAAAGTAAGTTGTTGAGGGTTTGAGTGTAAGCATTGACTGTCGCCCATCATTTGTTGTTATACGGATCTTCTTCTCCTTAGTAGATACTGGTGAATAAGGGGCCTTGGTAGGAGTAGCAGGAGCAGATGATGGCCCATCACGAATGATGCTTGGGGAAACAGTTCTAGGTTGGGCTTTTTGTTCTTGTTTTAACTTCTCAGTTTTCCGTTTCTGCATCATAGAAGCTTGTTCCGTAATGTTCTGTTGAATAGTTCTTTCAGTTTTACTCATATTTAATTCCTCCTTGTGCAAAGTTTTCGTTTTCTGCCCAGTAAGAATAATTTTAGTTGGAAGTTGAGACTCCAAATCTTGCCCATGTTGTACATCCTCAACTCTCTGGGCATGAGCACCATCAATATTTACAGGAGTGTAGTCATCAGGATTCTTTTTGGCTGTCTGATGCAATATAGTGTGGACAACTTTCTGAACCAGGATTTCACTCCCAAATTCACCAGGGAAATGTTTGGTAACAAGTTTCATTGCAACGTCATAAACATTGCTATTCAAAGACACATCACTTTCATACTGGAACCAATATACTGTTTCTCTGACCACTCTTCCACTCCATTCCAAAGTAATAGGAAAAGCTTCAGGCAGATTGTCATATTCTTTACCTTCCCAATAATGTTTGAATCCGCAGCCACATTTACCTCCGGTGGATCTGGTATTAGTTCGGTCCCCATCCAAATATACAACAGAACCATCACCTCTAACTCTTCGCACTGATGTGCCATGGCACCAATTGCAAGCTGTTAGATTACTCAGATTGTAGTCCGGTACCAGAACATCCTTGACTGAATCATATGAGCACACCAGATTGTTCAAAGGGAAGCTATAATTTTTGTCAGGCCTCAGCTGTCCATGGGTACTTTTGGCCAGGTTGTACAATTTCCCTCCTGGAGCCAACCACTCAGGGGGCACATGAAGTTCAGAAAGGGCACCACAGATCAAACACTTGTGAAGGCGATTATCCATCACTGCTTTTTTTGCAGCTGCTGTTACTTCTTCAGGTTGAACTCCTATTACCCCAGTTCTCCTATAGAAATATTGATGAACATCTGCAACTAAACTAGGATGAATACCATGTTTGTCCATGAAGACTTCCTCCATAGCAGCCACAAGCCTCAGTAAGTATTTGTCCTGCAAACTCCTATCTCCTCCAATCACACACCCACCATCCTCCTCAAGTTTAATATACTTTTTAATGAGGTCCTGAGGCACTCCCCACGCTTTAGGAAGTAGCTTCATGGGCAGTTTAGGTAAAGCAGCCCCTTTTATGCCAACCAAAGGAATATAGTGGTTTCTGCCAGAGCTACTCCAGGCAATGCAGATTGGTTTGTTCAAATGGCCATCTCTACCTGTGCACTTCTCCGCAGGGATGAGCCCCGGAAGAAAAGTGGCAGAATAGTCCCCAGAGCTTCTCATGCCACTGAGGGAATCCAGGAGAATAATAGGCCGGTGTAACACATTGGCAAGGCCAAAAATGTGGATGTTCCTCAACCCCAAGGGAACACCCTCAGGTGGCACAAAAAGGGGGTCACATTCGTTGATAATGTCCTCCCACTCAGCAGCATCAATGAAGTCGTGAAAGAGGGCTTGATATCGAGCCAGATGTTGCTGAAAGTGCTGTTTAAGATTCTCTCTCAAGGCATGCCAGAATAGCTCCCGGCCCACTAGGGCCCGGGACACAGCATGCACCAAGCAGTGCCCATCTCCATCTACATGCACTGGAATCAAGCACTCCTGACTCCGGTTGGCCCTCTTAATGTCCTCAAGAGTATCATGCAAGTAGAGCAGACTTCCAGATCGGTCCTTGCCGTAACCCACAGTGTTGACATGCTCGGGCTCAATGAGAAAGGCGCGGTCGCCCAACAGGGCGCAGTCAAACAGCTCGCCCTGATTCATGTCTCGGAGCAGCTTGGCCCTGCCCGTCTGCTTGTCCATCCCATATCGGGCCAGGATGGGCGACAGCAGTTTGCAGTGGTAGTTGGAGAGGCCCAGCACCTTCACCAGCTCCGTGTTCTTCTTGGGGGCCCCCGTCACCCCGAGCAGCGCGTTCCGGAGCAGGTTGTGCAGGACCACGTCCGGGTCGGTCACCTCCTCCACCCCCAGCAGCTGGTGCTGCTCGTGCCGCTGCCCGCACTCCGTGCACTCGATGCTGGCCGAGCCGGAGGCCGGGAAGAACAAACGCGCCTGACACTTGGGGTCCGGGCAGTTCCCGGACAGGATGCGTCGGTCCTTCCGCTTCGCGAGCCCCCCCTGAGCCGCCGCCGCCGCCGCAGCGGCCGCCGCCGGCGCCTCGGGGGGAGGAGGGGGAGGGGGGGGAGGCGGTGGCGGCGGCGGCTGAGACATAGCTCTCTGCTCTCGGGTCTCGCTCCGCGCCCCGGGCGACCCCTCAAAGGCTCATAGCCCTGACCCGCACCGGCCCCGATCAGTCCAGCCCAGGCCCAGGCTCGCCTGACTGGCGATTCTCTTTCCTCTCCTTATCAGCCCCCCCCCCACCGACACCGAAGTGAAGGCGGAAGCACTGGACGCCGCTTCTCTAATAGCTTCTTCACTGTGGTAGCAGTTGCCCCGAACGTAACGGCCTCCACCCTACCCCGCACACTTTCTTTCTCTCTCTCTCTCTCTCGCTCTCTCTCACACACACACACTCTCTCTCTCCCTATCTCTCTCTCACACACAGACATACACACACGCCCTCCCGAGGAGAACGCGCAGGCGCGGCCTTCGCTCTGCCCCCTGGGAATTAGAGTCTACCAGCTTGTGCGTCTGGCCTCGGGATAATGAAGGCTTGGGCCGGGTCGGGACTACGAGTGCCGTGAGGCAGTGCGGCTCAGGGCCCCAGCGAAGGAAGAAGAGGAAGGGGAAAGTAAAAAACTATGGTAATACAGAGGAAAAACAAGATGGTTCGCTTTGCCTACCGGGAGTTGTAGTCTCGCGCCGCTCCTTGGCCCGCCTGAAGGCGCAACCTTGAGCCAGCGAGGGACCACATTTCCTAGGTTGCCCTACGGTGGTACCTGTTGCACTTCCCTGCCGCTTCGCAAGATTGGGAGAAGGAAGGGTGCCGGTGAGGACCCGGTGTTGCATGCCGGGCAACAGAAAGCAAGTCGCTTGTGTTCATAGCACCTTTAAGTGGGTGGATGGGTTGATGGAAGTAGAGAGAGCTTTTGGGAAATGAGCATGCAGGGAAGTACTGGGTGGGGAGGTTGGCAGGAGGTGAGGACCAATGGGTGTTTGCGGGGGATGGGGAAGAAAGGAAAGGTTTCGGATTCCCCATGGCCTCAGGGGATTCCTCCCTGGTCTTTTCAGCCTCTGTGCTCTTCCCTCCTCGCCCCTCCTCCCAGTCAAGGCGGGGACTCTGGAGGCAGCCTTTCTAGCTAGGAACTGTCACTCCGGGAAATGAGTTCAGTTTCTCTTTTCCGATTCATCTTTGCTGCTCACAACGTAAAGGTCAAGAGAGCTGAGTCATCTGGGACTAGGGAAGGCGTGGGCTGCCAGGGGAAGGGGGGCAGCCCGGGCCACCACCTGCTCCTGGGAAGAGAATCCGACTGACTACAATCAGCCGGTCGTGCCTCTCTCTCTCCAGGTGCAGTGTTTGTTTACCTTTCAAGAGTTATTTTTATGACCTGCCATTAACCTGGACTGCCACACTTAATCCTACCACGTTCCCCTCCACGCACCTCCTAATGGACCTTGATAAATCACAATCTCTCTCTCTCTCTCTCTCTCCCCCCCCCCCCGTGTGGTTGGGGGTGTGTGTGTATGTACACACATATCTATATGGCATACAAACTGTGCTGTCATCAGCACTCTTCACTTTTCTGGAACAAAGTTTATCTTCATGGAAATGCTGATGTTGCTTTCTGGAGACTTAGATAAACCGCCTGAACATTTCTGTAAGACTTCGCACAAAATGTAGACAGAAAGTACTGAGCTTGAGGTCATGTGAGCTTCAGAGGCTGCCAAGGAAGCTGCCCGTCCTATTAGCTGCTTTGACGCTAGTCACATGAATGTTATGAAATGAGTGCTCTGGAAGGCAGTTAGGTTGTTCCCCCCACCAGGATCTTGGTGTTGATTCACTTCCAATAGTTGTCAACTAATTTAGCCAAAAAAGAAAAGTGGCTTGTAGATCACAAAAGCAAAACGATCCCTGTTGTCTCTTAATTCTTCTTCTCTTTTTTTAAAGCCCAAGTTATCTTTTTTTTTTAATACAGTTATACTATTTCACTTACTGTCATAGAATTCATTTTCAAATGCAAGCAATTGAAGTGATAATGTAATGGCTCCATAGCCAAACCTTGCCAAGTTAAATAAATTCTTCCAAAACTAATTGCTGAGAATTAATTCAACTCTGTGTTTTCTGCAGAGTAAGGATGTCTCTCTCACAATGCCTGGCATATAGTAGGCATTTACTAAATGCTTGTTAAATGGTTCAATTTAGATCAATCCTGTTTCTAAGCAGTTGTGGCGTTCATATGTATTTTTTAAAAAGCATCACAATAGTATGTACAGTAATATGATTGCTCATATGTAATCAAATGCTAACATAGCATTTTAAGACTCTAAAAGCACTTTGCATATAGTATTTAATCAAACCTTAGACAAGTAGTAAAGCTGATTAAAAATGGGAAAGGGTGTTGTAATAATAAATATTCTTTCAAGAGCAATTTGATTATTTACTTTTGTTTAGAGAGGACTTGGAATTTCTGAATATTATAAAGGTAAGAAAATATGATTGTCTAAAACCGACTTTTTCAGGTTTACATATATATGTATATAATACGCTACCTCATATATATGCACATATACAATGTATCATATGCAATAGTCTTTATGTACATGTTAATATACAATATGCATACAACATATAAGTTTGAAAAATGTAATTTTTAGATAATCATATTTTATCTAATTTTTTAAAATAACATTTAAAAGTTCCGGGTCCTCTCTAGACAAAAATAAATCATCACATTGCTCTTGAAAGAATACTTATTATTGCAGCCCCCTTTCCCACTATTTAATCAGCTTTACTGCTTGCCTAAGTCCCTGAAGCACTAAGAATATCAGACTTTTATTTAGTACTTCTTCCTAAGTTCCATTACATGAATTATCAAAAACCTTCACAGCATCCTAGTAGGGTAGATAATGTCATATCTTACTCACAGCATCCAAGAACCTCAGAGTTAGCCAGGCTCTTAGAAGCCATCATCCCTGTTCTGTAAACAGGAAAACTAAGCTAAAACAGTTCTGTGTTTCCAGCAATCTCTTGGTAATCCAGCACAACAACACATTTTCTTAATTTCTAGCATACATATGTTATAATCAGGAAGATAAACCTAGAAATAATAGAAGTAATGAGCCAGGTAAGGTCTAATCTGGAATCAAATCCAAAAATGCTTCTTGGAGGAAGTGTATTCTGAAAAAAAAAAAAAGAGAGAGATCATAGTGAAAATGAATTGTATAGTATGTTCTGAAATGAAGAGATGCCATACAAAACAGGCTAATTAAGAACAGATTGGGCCCTAAGGGTAAGCAACCCTCTTTCTTTTCTCCTCTCCCCTCCCACATATTAAATGAAGTTTTGGGAGAGCTGGTCTTGGTTTGCTTCCCTGGTCTAAAGGTTGATCCAGTCAGCCAGTCTAGCTGCCAGGCTGAGGCCAGAGTGCTTTGCCATGGTTACCAGGCCAGAGCAGTGCCCAGTCACCTTGACCCCTGAGCTATGCAGCTATTTGGTGAAAGGAAGAAGAGAGGGAGAAAGGATTCCAACAAGATTCATTTTTGAATCTCAAAATCAGAGGAAATGTTCTCTCCCTACTAGTGATGAGGCAAGGAGGTGGGGGAGAGGGATATATCCGAGTAAATGTCAGTTCTGGTGATATAGTTTGGGGTTGCTGGGAATCTCGAAATGTCAGGGCAGTGTCGGCCTGGAATGAATTCATACACTTAAACCTTCTTCCAGTCAAGTGACTAGGCTTATTACACTGCCTGTAGTGTGGGTGAGAATCTTAAGTAATCTGCAACTTATGGAGATGAGACTGATGCTTATCTACAAACGGGACAGTGAAAGCATATGGATAGGATTAAGGAATGGTAAGTAGTCTGGGGTGGACCAGGTGCAATAGCAAAAGGACTATCAAGTCGGCTGATTAGGTGATCTAAGTGGGCTGGTTTGGGCCAGTTGCCCCAGAAGGAAGGACCAGTGATCTGGGCTGCTGTAAAGTACGGGACTAACAATCCAGTATCTTGAGGCCAATAGGTGTCCTTCCCCTAGCAATATATCTTCCATACAGATATGCAACAATTTTTTTTTAAATAAAAAGTTCACATTGATATAGCACTTCATAGTTTTCAAAGCACTTTTTTCACATCTCTCCTCTCCCCTCCATACATGGGGTATCATGCCCTTACCTGAGGGTGTTCTGCCCAAAGGAAGGTAAATTTTGATGGCTGAATCCTACCTAGTTAGTTATCTTGGGGTGTGCTGGCTAGATTTCTTTCTGAAACACCAGGCCTTAAACCCAATTTCCTCAGGCTCTCATTGACTGGACAATAGGTACCTGCCCAAGCACCACCACTTAATGGTTACTTTTTGGACCCTCCTGGCTCAGAGTGAATGTAAATAGTAATTGTTTCTCTTTTGGCCAGCAACCCTGAGGGTCTTGGCCTTCCAATTTGATTTTTTTTTTTTTTAAATTAAAGGAGCTATCCTTTAACTTACTTCTTAAACAGGCCACTGAAAGGGCATTGCCTCACGAAAAGCAAGACCTCAGAAAGACCTTAGCTGTAAAAGGCCAATATCTCCCATTGCACCCTGGTCCATCTTCAGTTATCCTGATCAATATCTGGCCACTGGACCCAGATGGCTCTTGAAGAGAAAATGAAGCTGGTGACTTTGCACAGCCCTCCCTCACTCAAATCCAATTCATTTGCAAGTCATGTTATCATCTTCCTGATATCATGGTCCTCTTCAAGAACCATGAACAAACCATGCTACAACAACCTGTGAGATCAAGTAGTAGTATCCCTAGTTTATTTATCTATTTCACATATAAGGAGGTTGAAACTTAAAAAGACTAAGTGATTTGCTCATAGTGACCCAACTTTATATAATACAGTAAGCACTTGAACCCTGGTATCCTGCATTCTTTAACTAGGGATCATGTCTAACAATTGAATTGAATTTCTCAATGCATGATAGGCCCCTATTTTCTTTTGTGAGCCATTGATTTGGGGGGGGGGGGGGGGGAGTCAATCCAAGACCCAGTGAGTTAAAAAGGGAACTTAACAATTTTATTTAATTGGTTTTTGTGTTTTTCAGAAAAAATGTAAAACTTTCCATTCATAAGCTTTTATAATTAAGAATGAGGAACACAAAATTTTATATGGTATATCCAATGAATAATGAATATGCTTCATTTTCAATTCATGGCCAATTAAGGGAAAAAGACTGAGGAACAGAAGAAAAGATATGAGAGAGAAGTAAAGTAGACTAGGGACAGGAAATTAAGCCAAAGTCTTGCAGAAAGATCCACCCAATACATTGGAAGACTTCTTTGGGTTCTTTTCATATTTTGTGTATGCCAATGGAACATGCAGGCTATCTATTGTCCCTTCTCCCTACATAACAGGCCTTCCTTCATATATATTTATCTTTAATGACATTGCAACTCACCCAAACAACATCTTTCATTCTACTTTTCTCATGCAAATCTTCATCAGACATGTGCTACAGCCCACATTTTACAACATCCCCACATCTTTCCATTATCCTTAGGTTTACTTGCAATTCTGATTTTTCTGAGATCCTGTGATTGGCAGCCACGGTGGATCACCAGGAGAACACTGGTATTAAAGAGTTGGGCTTTATCAGAAATGGGCAGCCAGGTACCATTAAAAGTGTCACATAGGTTCCCAAATGAACTCATCCTGTTCAATTCTGGGCCTGGTTCATTATATATCTGTAATACCTGGGCAAGCTATGCTAAGTCATTCACTAAAGTTCTACTCCACTGTCACATGACAACGTGAAGGTAGCTATCAGTTATTGAAGGCTATGTTAGTAAAGCA